AGATATAACTCGAACAGAACCGTCTAGATATAGCCAGGCTACAAGGAAAAGATAACAATATTAAGAAAGGAACTAGGAAATTTGCATAGGAACCAGATAAAATGCCTTTAATTAATAATTGAACAATTTAAACTATTAAGTGAATAGTTTCACAAAGACTAAAATTAATATGAAAAGGAAAAATATGATTTAACATAATTAAATATAGTAAAGCATAACATCTCTTCCAAACAAAATAAATTATAATATTATATAAAACGTGTTATCATGTGTTATTCATGTATTGAGGTTAAGTTTAAAATTTTACATTTCATTTAAGAAATTCTTGTACAAAATATGTATTTTCAACAAAATATCGGTATTAAAGCTTACCTTATAAAATCAGACGGCCAATAAGAATATTAAAAGACAATTAGTACATTGGATGTCCAAGATAATTTTAAAAAATCAACTTGTTCGTTGAAAGAAACAAATCAAAATGAAAACTTTTGACGCAAGGCATAAACGACAAATGACATTTGTGTAGAGATGTTGGTGTCAAAATAACGAAAACGGTTCCAACCGTTACAAAGCTAACAATACATACAGCCAGTTTACGACAAAATTAATGGCTTTAATAAATAAATACAATTTTACCTTTTTTTCGTATATTTAAACAAGGTGAGTCGAATTTTTCTCTAATAATTTGAAGGGCTAAAAATGAACGTTACACTGAGGCCAATGCTTTTTACACTTTACATAAATAGTTTAATGTATAAAAAATTCAGGGAAATATTCTGATTTTTGCCGATGACACCGCTATTTTGTATCAGCCCGAAACGTGGACAGAACTAAAAAAAAAATTGACAAGGGGGGTAGCCATGTGTGAGTTGAGGTAATTTTAAGGTGAAGGGGGAGAAAAAGTCCTTTATATCTCACAAGGAAAGTCAATGTTTAATTATTTAACAAAACATTGAGTGCGACCGGTTTCGAAGTGTCATCACTTCATCTTCAGACTCGCCTAGTGGAAAGGAGAATATGTGGTGTAAGGTGTGTTAACACTTAGAGCAAACGATATATAAAATAGTAAAAAAGAGAAAACTCACCATACTCTCCATCCACTAGGGAATACTACAAAACAAGTTTCATCAAATTTCATCAAATCCTACATAGTTCCTACCATAGATTTACTCTTAATAGCTTCGAAAGCCTCGAGATATTGAGAAATTTAAAATTAAATCATGTTGGTTGCTTAAATGCCCAGATAATGTCAGAAACTCCTCCTGTTTTCTCAACACCAATCTAAATTTATCTTTCTAACTTCCTTTTTAACCTCCCCTTTATTTCTATTCACATATTTTCTTGCAAGGGGTACATTTCAGTAAGTAATTTTTTTCCCATAAGAAACCAACGAGCACGTTTAAAGATTAGGTTAGATTGTGTGATTTCACATCCGTCATTTTCTTCTTTTCTTCTTTTATTCTTCAGTTGCTTCACAACAGTTAACCCAGTCATTTCTTCTTCTTTCTTCTTCCTACAACATCACATACACTTGGTGATTGGTTCATGGCCCAAATCTTATATAATAAATAATAAATATTTCTTCACTCATAGTTTACATCTTATTACCTATACCCTGTCATGGGTTTACCCAAGAATTTTTTTGTTAATACTTGCCACCACCTGTAGAGGCCTTAACTTGACAGGTCTCCTTTCAAAAATGTTAGTTTTTTGAAAAAACAAGGTTGTTTAAAATAAGCCTTATCTTTTAATCTGTTTAATGTATGTGATTTGTTTTGTATAGTCTTGAATATTTTAAATTTTACTATTTCAATTGACTAATATTTGTTTTTCAAATATTTTTACTTTTTATTACTTGTAAACTTTGTTCATTTTACAATTTATTTCACCCAACATTTGATGAAACTTGTTTTGTAGTATTCCCTAGTGGATGGAGAGTATGGTGAGTTTTCTCTTTTTTACTATTTTATATATCGTTTGCTCTAAGTGTTCACACACCTTACACCACATATTCTCCTTTCCACTAGGCGAGCCTGAAGATGAAGTGATGACACTTCGAAACCGGTCGCACTCAATGTTTTGTTAAATAATTAAACATTGACTTTCCTTGTGAGATATAAAGGACTTTTTCTCCCCCTTCACCTTAAAATTAAAAAAAAAAGCTGAGAAGGACTTGAATGAAATTAAGTTATGGTTTGAATTTAACAAATTAGTACTTAATCCAAACAAATCATATTATTTACCCTTTACGTCCTATTCCTCCAACCTGCTTAATCTTTGTTCACTAAATATTAATGACGTCCAAATTCCAGAAGCTGTTTCCATTAAATATCGAGACATTATCATAGACAAGCATTTAAAAATGATCAATAATAAAAATAGGGAGTTATTAGCAAAAGCTAATATTTAAAAAATTGTCTCGGTATAGAAAATTTAAGAATACTCTATTTTTCGTTTGTGCAAACTCACATATGGAATCCTGGCATGGGGAGGAGTTGCAGACTTTCACATTCAAAATCTAAATTCTATACAAAACTGGTTCATAAAAATTATTTATTCTAGGAAAAGGACATACTCAAGTCAATTACTTTTCAAGGAAAGCAAACTTTTTGATATACGCCAACTGTATTGCCTTAAAATATTATTCAGTATATTTACAAAAAAAATCGCAAGTTATAAAAGTAATTTTAATGAACCGACTTCAAAGTCATGCAGATGGCCTTAAAATTGTTTACGGAACTACCCCTGAGGTATCCCCTTTCTAACAAAAAATCATAGAAATTGGACGAAGGTTAAGAATTATCGCTGAAAATACATAAAAAATAAAGAGTTTGATGATTTTCTGAAGGTCCCCATTATTAGATATTGGTCAAATGTATATGGGACCACCTCTAAGGAACCCCTTTTCTAAATCATACAAATAGAAAAATGTAGTGAAGAATTATCGCTGAACATAAATAAAAAAAAAATATTCCGACGAACTGAGAACCTCCTCCTTTTTTGAAGTCGGTTAAAAATAAATACAAGGACTCATACTTATCAAACACGGTCATATAATGTCACCACACCCACGTCTTTTAAAACAATAGGGCAACGAAATACGGATTAATCTAGTTCCAGACTATTTAATCTAGTTCCTAACGAAATCAAATAGATTACCAAATTGACTAAAAAGTGGATACCCTAAACGATCTAATCAAATATATTTTTAAAAATGCCATAAGTAATTAAAATAGAAAGCTGTAATAGGCACCTCTTATTGTTTAAAATTTCCAATTTTCGAAATCATCCAAAAAGTTGTTTTCAAGAGATAAAATATTAAGGGTTTTAAAAACTTTTTTTTTAAAATACGATAGAAAAGTGGTAGGAAATGTGTTAATAGATAACTAAACTAACTATTGACATTTAAATGTTTTTTTATCATACCACCAAATTGAAGTGCTCTAAACACTTCTGAAATGAAATTAATTTCTTCCATTCCCACTGTTCTCATCTGCCTAAGGAAATATCCATATCAAAGTGGCCGCCTCGAAGTATCTCGAACTCGGACAAATATGAATGATAATAGAGTAAGTAATTGACCGACCAGTAATGAAATTCTTGATAAAGTGCCAGGCTATCTGATTCTCTAAATTAACTTGCCGGGAGCGAAACAGTAGCCGAGCGATAATTTCTATAAAGACAACCGTTTAGATCTTTGCTGCGTTGTTTTCAGAAGATGCAGGACCGGTTCAATGTACCTATTTGTATATAAAGCATTTAAACGTTTCGCAGAGAAAGTCAGCACCATCAAGAGACAATTACGTGTATAGAGTACTGGCCATATCGACTGTAGCCTGGTGGAACTTCAGTCTGCGGCTTATTGTACCACCATTTAAAAGTCCTACTATGGTTAAACACTAATCTGCTAAGTCCCATGGTGACACGGCCATGGAGGAATGTTCCAGCGGTCACTCATCCACGACGTGACCGGAGATACAACTGCTTAGCTGTTGTAAAAATGTGAATGCACACGCGAGAATTAGTTTCTCCGACTCATATCAAGCTTAGAGGCCTGCTTTGTGTGTGATAAAGTAAATAATAAGTCATCATCCACCAATTTAATCTTTAGAATATGGCTTACGTATAATATGCGTTTAATAATGTTATATTACCGATCAGGTAAGTACTCATTACAGCCGAAGCACCTAGACTAGAATGAGTTCTCCTGAGGTATGTGTACGATTTTAACCACAATCGATTAATCGATAATAATCGATAAATTTAAAATAATCGAATATAATGAAATAATCGAAAATTATCAATTTATCGAAAACAATCGATTATTTCTATAGGTATATTCAGAGCCTCGTTGACTCTAAGGTATATATCCAAGAAATGGAGACAGGTTAAAGTGGTATTCATACCCAAACCTGGAAGAATGTATAACACTATCCCAAAAATATAACCGACCAATTAGTCTTACATCGTTTTCCATGAAAACATTGGAAAGGCTATGCGAAAGGTATATAAGGGATGCGGTGATTGAAACAACACCACTACACAAATCAACGTGCATACACCCCAGGCATATCTACTGATTCAGCCCTTCACCAAGTTGCTGGCCGGATAAAGAGATCCCTGGACAATAAGGAGTCCGCCTTGGGTGTTTTCATAGACATAGAAGGTGCTTTTGATAAAACCACCTTCTCCAACAGGAATGTTTCACAGACGGTTAGTGGGTGGATACATAACATGCTTTCAAAGCGAGCAGTAAACATAAATGTAGAAGATCTGAACTTAGAAGCAGGCGATTAAAAATGTCCCTGTTACAATTTTCTCTAGAGAATTTTCGCTGTATGAGCGAAAATGCTTGTTACGTGCTTCCGCGGCTTCTTCAGACAGCTGCCCAATAGGCAACAATGCAGTTTATATTATAACTACACCATGAATAAGTATGTTGTGCATCGTTGGTGTCATTGGGTGCCAAGAGTACAGCTGCACATATAAGCGAGCAGCATCTAATGCGTATTTTCCGGGTCAATTAGATATCTGCTCGAAATCGTTTTTAGTATGACCTCTAATTTATAAATTAGGTCATAACTAATGCCCGTTATTTCGAAAGCCACTTTAGGGTCTTCAAAAAATCTTCGGCTCGTATTTCCATCATTTGTGTAGCCAAAATTTGCCTTTGATATATCCACCAACAAACCAGTTTCATTGCAAAATCTTTTCTGGATTTCCAGTTTTCTTTCTTTTACAATATATTTTTCCGTTTCTGTTTTTCTCTCTCTGTATTTTTTCACTGGCAATTTATAAGCCAAGTGGAGAATGCTTTTAAAAAGATGAATCCTTTCAACATGAATCCTTGCAACTGAAAGCCCAAACTCTGTAGCTTCATGATTAATCTGGTTTTCAAAATCTAATTGGTTGAAGTCCTTAGAGGTTGCACCACACATGTAACATCGGCTTGTAGATTTTGTACCAGTAGTAGCATTACAGACCTTTCCGTCTACCATTGTCATAATAAACACATGTTTAACCAAAAATTGTGTTCCATTTAAGTCCACCTCTGTTGCGTTTAGCGACAGCAGATTTTTCACAAAAGTAATTTCTTCTTCCGTTATGTCAATAGTCTCTTTAACGAATCGGAACCTTAAAGGTCGACAATACCGTGGAAAAGAGGGTGTTGGGCTTGCCCACTCAATTTTTTCATCTTTACCACAAACCAATCGTAGAGGAACGAAACAGCTCTGAAATATGTTCGCGTCTGAGTCGGCATCAGTTTCAAATTTTTGTATCGACTGAGATTGCTGAGATGCATCTTAACCTCATTTACAAATTAACTTCATCTTGTTCTTTCAATAATATCAGGACCTCTTCTAGGAATATCGACAAGCGCATAATTATAAGGTCAACTAAAGGCTGTAAATCGCTCTCCATACAGGTACTAATTACTCTGCGTGATTCTGCGGGTTGATAGCATTTTTGTTTTACCTTTTTTAAAAGGCTATAACAATAAATGAAGAATTTTTTATTAGTATTTCTAATTATTTTGTATTTCCGACGAGTTAAATCAGCTTCTACGAACATTGCTAATGCTTGTAAAGAAGTAAGGAAGCAAGTTTCTTCACTTTTGGATTTAGAAATTGCTTTTTTATATTTAGTTGCACGTGTTGGAGAACTGGTAAGATCTTTGAGTACATCGGAAGCATCTCGTTTTCCAACTTTCCGCAATTCTACTTAAGCAGCATGTATGATTACTTCTTTATCTAAAGTAGATCGAATCTCTTTAGTTTTCCTTCTTTTAGTTCGATCACTTGACTCTCCAAATGACCCACGTGGCCGGCCTGGCCGATTTTATGCAACCACGTGAATCTCAAAAGTTTCGTTTAGCCATGCATCATTGTATTTGTAACATACGTCTTCCTTTTTATGTGCTTTCAACCACCTTTCTGTCACCTGAGACTTAAGATGTAACTGCGTTTCAAACACTCAATTTGGTCTTCGGTGTATCCTTCGCCCGACAAAAGTTGTTCTTTTAAGAAATCTAGTTTTTCTTCAAAACTAGGCAAATTAGATTCTGCGGTCTGCATGCGACAGTACAAATATTTACGGGTCACAATTCTTACACCCGAGGTACTTTGTGAACCTAAACAAAAATGAATTCTTTAAAAATGTATTAAACATCAATCAAATTAATAAACTGTTTTTATATAAATAAACGTTATATTAGGGCTACAGCCCTAACCCTATCCACTATAGCTACGTTTTATTGATGGTGGAGCATTGTCAAGGTATAATAGAAATAAATGTAGTTCTTGCAATGTAGTTTCAATGAATAATTTATGTTCGCGTGTTTTAGTTTTCTTAGTGTACCTCTATCGTGGTTAGAGATTTATATTTCTTCTACTCCAAAGTGCTGACCGTTATTTTTCTTTCTGTATTTGCACTTATTTGCATTGTCTTTCTACCTTTTAAAAATATTTAATGGCTACCTGGGCTACCTGTCTAATGAGGATTATTTTATTCCTAAGAAAGTCGTTTTTAGCATAATGTGAGCATATACATTTATTGCTCTTACTTCAGCCTAGAAGACTGTTATCAGTGACCCCCATCTTCCCTGACTTTGCACGGTGTAAAGCCCTGCTCCATTGCTGTTTCAAAGCACCTCTTTACCAAACTGATTTATTTTGTGTTTCCTATAATCCCGGCTTTTGGTATTTTCCGGTATTTTGATATCGAAAGGTTTTATAAGAGTCCTCTTCTACTTTAAATTAAACTCACAATCATTTTCCTAATTAATTTCAATATCCACTTATACTCGTATTTACAATTTTTATTGTCTAGCACTTATGCTAATATCAAACTAGTTAATCATCAATAAATCAAATTTTTATTCCACATTATTAATATTAAAATCGCTCGGGTCAATTATTTTTCCGTTTAAAATATTCCTCATTCTTCTTTCATTAATAACAATCATTGTTTACGTTTATTAATGATACTCATTAAAGCCCTTGAATTACCAATTGTCTAATTATAAAATTAAACATCATTGTTTCAAATCCAGTAAAAATTAATGAATTTTTAACAAATTCTACTGAAATTATAAAAACAAGTAGAGTAAATAATACATTGGCTTGCTTGTAGGAAAAATACTAAAAGAAAATTGCAATCTCATAACATATTATTTTTTGAATTGATAATTTTAATATTGTTTTTTAAAATTTTAATAATTTATTAACCATTTCCGATCTCTTGTTGGAGAATGGGTTATGAAATAATTGCCTTTAAGTTGCCTTTATTATCAAAAAATATAATAATTTTACTATTGAAGAAAGATTATCCATTAGCTAGAATGTGGTCCAATTACTCAAAAAGAAAAATAATAAAGAACAAAATCGGTACTACATAATTTTTATTGAAAATTTAAGAAGTGAAGCTACTATTCTCGACCATTATGGCCATCTTCAGGTCTATAATACAAATAAAAATGTGGTAGAAAAAATACTGAAGTAACAAAAGTTACTTAAATATATAAAAAGGTGTTGTTAAAATACAATTTTTTTAGGATCACCATCCAAAGTGGGCAATAATTATTTTGTCCACGACCACTTAATAATAAATCAATATTCTACCTCCTAACTAAAAGCATATAGTACCCATATATCACGGAGTGAATTATGATACGAAAAATCGAAAAATCGAAAAATCGAAAAATCGAAAAATCGAAAAATCGAAAAATCGAAAAATCGAAAAATCGAAAAATCGAAAAATCGAAAAATCGAAAAATCGAAAAATCGAAAAATCAAAAAATCGATAAATCAAAAAATCAAAAAATCAAAAAATCGAAAAATCGAAAAATCGAAAAATCGAAAAATCGAAAAATCGAAAAATCGAAAAATCGAAAAATCGAAAAATCGAAAAATCGAAAAATCGAAAAATCGAAAAATCGAAAAATCGAAAAATCGAAAAATCGAAAAATCGAAAAATCGAAAAATCGAAAAATCGAAAAATCGAAAAATCGAAAAATCGAAAAATCGAAAAATCGAAAAATCGAAAACTCGAAATATCGAAAAATCGAAAAATCGAAAAATCGAAAAATCGAAAAATCGAAAAATCGAAAAATCGAAAAATCGAAAAATCGAAAAATCGAAAAATCGAAAAATCGAAAAATCGAAAAATCGAAAAATCGAAAATACGAAAAATCGAAAAATCGAAAAATCGAAAAATCGAAAAATCGAAAAATCGAAAAATCGAAAAATCAAAAAATCGAAAAATCGAAAAATCGAAAAATCTAAAAATCGAAAAATCGAAAACTCGAAATATCGAAAAATCAAAAAATCGAAAAATCGAAAAATCGAAATATCGAAAAATCGAAAAATCGAAAAATCGAAAAATCGAAAAATCGAAAAATCGAAAAATCGAAAAATCGAAAAATCGAAAAATCGAAAAATCGAAAAATCGAAAAATCGAAAAATTGAAAAATTGAAAAATCGAAAAATCGAAAAATCGAAAAATCGAAAAATCGAAAAATCGAAAAATCGAAAAATCAAAAAATCGATAAATCAAAAAATCAAAAAATCGAAAAATCGAAAAATCGAAAAATCGAAAAATCGAAAAATCGAAAAATCGAAAAATCGAAAAATCGAAAAATCGAAAAATCGAAAAATCGAAAAATCGAAAAATCGAAAAATCGAAAAATCGAAAAATCGAAAAATCGAAAAATCGAAAAATCGAAAAATCGAAAAATCGAAAAATCGAAAAATCGAAAAATCGAAAAATCGAAAAATCGAAAATTCGAAAAATCGAAAAATCGAAAAATCGAAAAATCGAAAAATCGAAAAATCGAAAAATCGAAAAATCGAAAAATCGAAAAATCGAAAAATCGAAAAATCGAAAAATCGAAAAATCGAAAAATCGAAAACTCGAAATATCGAAAAATCGAAAAATCGAAAAATCGAAAAATCGAAAAATCGAAAAATCGAAAAATCGAAAAATCGAAAAATCGAAAAATCGAAAAATCGAAAAATCGAAAAATCGAAAAAAAAATCGAAAAATCGAAAAATCGAAAAATCGAAAAATCGAAAAATCGAAAAATCGAAAAATCGAAAAATCGAAAAATCGAAAAATCGAAAAATCGAAAAATCGAAAAATCGAAAAATCGAAAAATCGAAAAATCGAAAAATCGAAAAATCGAAAAATCGAAAAATCGAAAAATCGAAAAATCGAAAAATCGAAAAATCAAAAAATCGAAAAAATCGAAAAATCGAAAAATCGAAAAATCGAAAAATCGAAAACTCGAAATATCGAAAAATCAAAAAATCGAAAAATCGAAAAATCGAAAAATCGAAATATCGAAAAATCGAAAAATCGAAAAATCGAAAAATCGAAAAATCGAAAAATCGAAAAATCGAAAAATCGAAAAATCGAAAAATCGAAAAATCGAAAAAACGAAAAATCGAAAAATCAAAAAATCGAAAAATCGAAAAATCGAAAAATCGAAAAATCGAAAAATCGAAAAATCGAAAAATCGAAAAATCGAAAAATCGAAAAATCGAAAAATCGAAAAATCGAAAAATCGAAAAATCGAAAAATCGAAAAATCGAAATATCGAAAAATCAAAAAATCGAAAAATCGAAAAATCAAAAAATCGAAAAATCGAAAAATCGAAAAATCGAAAAATCGAAAAATCGAAAAATCGAAAAATCGAAAAATCGAAAAATCGAAAAATCGAAAAATCGAAAAATCGAAAAATCGAAAAATCGAAAAATCGAAAAATCGAAAAATCGAAAAATCGAAAAATCGAAAAATCGAAAAATCGAAAAATCGAAAACTCGAAATATCGAAAAATCGAAAAATCGAAAAATCGAAAAATCGAAAAATCGAAAAATCGAAAAATCGAAAAATCGAAAAATCGAAAAATCGAAAAATCGAAAAATCGAAAAATCGAAAAATCGAAAAATCGAAAAATCGAAAAATCGAAAAATCGAAAAATCGAAAAATCGAAAAATCGAAAAATCGAAAAATCGAAAAATCGAAAAATCGAAAAATCGAAAAATCGAAAAATCGAAAAATCGAAAACTCGAAATATCGAAAAATCGAAAAATCGAAAAATCGAAAAATCGAAAAATCGAAAAATCGAAAAATCGAAAAATCGAAAAATCGAAAAATCGAAAAATCGAAAAATCGAAAAATCGAAAAATCGAAAAATCGA